GACCCCCATCTTTTGATTTTATGATCTATGAATAGAGGCAAGGGCAAAAAGATGATGAGGGCTATTCTAATTATAGTTGCTCTAAAGTGATGTTGAATGCATCATACCTGGTGCATCCCAAGACAGGGGAGTATAAAGGAGCAGGTGCCAAATTTTCACACTGTCTCCTTCTGTCCTCTGCAAACAGCTTTGTGGTTTGGTGAGCAATTAAAGCCTCAGCTCAGTTAACCTTGCCACCCACTTAACTGATTGATTACCTTCTAGTCTCTATTACATTAACTGTTTCCATCACTGTTGAGTTGAGGTACTCCTTCCCTTGCTTGGTTATTTTGCAACTTGCAAGAAAACAAAATAGTTGGATCATCACCTGCTGCTTTCCAGAGTGTGCCTAAGAAGGAAGCTGGAATTGGAAGTGGGGCCAGGCACTCAGGAATGTGGGCATCCCAAGTGGCACGTTAATTGCTGTGCCAAATGCCTACCCCAATAAGAAAATAATTTTAAATCTGTTAAAGAATGAACCTCAAAATAGACAGCTCTTCCCAATTTCACGATTAGTAGTTGTTGGAATCTCTGTGCTCTACAGATTAATAAAAATGTTAGGAGAGGGCAGAATCAATGAACTTGAGATAGTTGCAAAGAAAATCTTGATGAGGTGTACAAGGATGGAGTAAAAATATATAAAGAGGAATAAAATTGGGAGAGTGAATGGAAGTCAGTCTGGAGATTCCTCAGAAACCTGAATATAACCCTACCATACAACCCAGCTATACCACTCCTTGGAATTTACCCAAAGGAAATTAAATTGGCAAACAAAAAAGCTGTCTGCACATTAATGTTTATTGCAGCTCAATTCACAATAGCTAAGACCTGGAACCAACCCAAATGCCCATCAACAGTAGACTGGATAAAGAAATTATGGGACATGTACTCTATAGAATACTATACAGCAGTCAAAAACAATGAAATCCGGTCATTTGCAACAAGATGGAGGAATCTGGAAAACATTACGCTGAGTGAATTAAGCCAGTCCCAAAGGGACAAATATCATATGTTCTCCCTGATTGGCGACAACTAACTGAGCACCAAAGGGGAAACCTGTTGAAGTGAAGTGGACACTATGAGAAACAGTGACTAGGTCAGCCCTTGTTTTGACTGTTGATGTACAGTGTAATACTTTATCCCTTTTAGTATTTTTTTTTGTTCTAGTACTATTGGTTGAACTCTGTAATTAACACACAATTATTCTTAGGTGTTTAAATTTTAACTGAAAAGTGATCCCTGTTAAATATAAGAGTGGGAATAAGAAAGGGAGGAGATGTACAATTTGGGACATGCTCAATAGGACTTGCCCCAAATGGAGGAGATAGAAACGTGCCAGGGGATTCCAATACAATCCCATCAAGATGGCATGTACCAATGCCATCTCATTAGTCCAAGTGATCAATTTCAGTTCACAACTGATCACACTGATAGGTCTAAGAGTCAAAGGGATCACACAAACAAGACTAGTGTCTGCTAATACTAATGGATAGAATAAAAAAGGGAGAGAATGATCCAACATGGGAAGCAGGATACACAGCAGACTCCTAGAATGGCAGATGTCCTAAATAGCACTCTGTCCTCAGAATCAGCTCTTAAGTCATTCGGTACTGGCTGAAGAGCCCATGAGAGTATTTTAGGCATGGAAAGCCAAGACACTCTGGAAAAAAAAAAAGAAGACCTAAATGAAAGATCTCTGCAAGTGAGATCCCAGTGGAAAGAATGGGGCCATCAAAGAAGGAGGTACCTTTCTCTGAAGGGAGGAGAGAATTTCCACTTTAACTATGACCCTGTCGGAATAAGATCAAAGTCGGCGAACTCAAAAGGCTTCCATAGCCTTGGTAACTCATGACTAGAGCCTAGGGAGATTACTGACACCATAAACAAGAGTGTCAAATTGTTAAGTCAACAACAGGAGTCACTGTGTACTTACTTCTCATGTGGGATCTGTCCTTAATGTGTTGTCCAATGTGAAATAATGCTATAACTAGTACTGCAACAGTATTTTACACTTTGTGTTTCTGTGTGGGTGCAAAGTGATGAAATCTTTACTTAGTATATACTAAATCGATCTTCTGTATATAAAGAGAATTGAAAATGAATCTTGATGTGAATGGAATGGGCGAGGGAGTGGGAGATGGGAGGGGTGCAAGTGGGAGGGAAATTTTGGGGGGGAAAGCCATTGTAATCCATAAACTGTACTTTGGAAATTTATATTTACTAAATAAAAGTTAAAAAAATTGGGAGAGTGAGTCTAGGATTAAATATGATTGAGAGAATATCACTTTTTGCTTGTATCTTCACACCCTACTTTTGTGGGCTTTTTTACAAAACATACAATAATGTACACGTCTCTCACTTGAAACTATAACCTATGACTATCCTCATTCAATAACCCTCTCTTTTACCTTCCTTTAAAACTACTTGAAAGAAGTGTCTTTTCTCCACCACCATCATTTACTTCCATGCAATGCAATCTTTCCTGCCCATAACTATTCTAACTGTACCTATCCAGTAGAGTGGCAATCTTTGCTTTCTTTACAGCATTTGAAAATATGGATCATTCATTCATTTTTTCCCTCAAAACTTCTTCCTTTTTTGGCTTTTTGTGTCTCATGCTCACTTCATTCTCCATCCATTTCTTTGATCATGTCTTTTCCAAGTTTCCTTTGTGAGCCTACCATCCTTGGCTGCCTATAGACACAACATACCTTAGTTGCCAATCTCCTCTTCTTTTACTTGAAACATTCTCCTGCATGTCATTTTCTCCATTTACCCAGGGTTTGGGGTGTCATCATCAATACAGTAGCTTGCTCTGAATCTCTTTATTGGCACTAATCCAATTATACTATAATTGTATTATCTTGAAATATTAATCCATATTTTCTCCAACATCCACCTTTCACATCTTTTCTACACCTTTTGCTTTTCTTTCATTTAGTCAGAATTATTTTGAGGGATGGTGAGATATTAAAACAGAGAATAGAGTTTTTAGTTAAAATGTCTTGGGATTTATAACTTACAAATAACAAGAAACTCTGACTTCACAGAACTCAGGAGATGAGCAGATTGAGAGTCTCTGGACTGGCTGAATGAGTGCAGTGATGTGAAGTTAGAAGAAATGAACACCAGGAGTCACAGTCTCCCTGAGAAATGTGTGTGCTTGTCTGTGGCCTTTTATTTAAAAAAGTCTTTTTTCAAGTCCAACAGAAAGTTAAGGAGAGAATGACTTACATCTTCAGAGGGGGCCAGATATATTCTGTTTTCGGTCTACTGCCTCAATGTTGGTGAGAAAAAAAGAACACTGCAAAGTGACTTCATTTTTGAAATTAATCAAAAGTCAAGGGGGTATTAAGGAGGTGTGAGGGTAGAAGGGAATCCCTCGTAGACTCAGATGGATCTGGTACAGACACAGGAACCTCAGGATGACCAGGAAAGTTGGCTAATCCTTCCTGGCTCTTGTTCCTGGCAAGATTGCTATCAGTTTATTTGGGAGTAGGAGACCATACTCTAACACATTTATTTAGAACACTTCAAAGAAGATTTTTGTGCGTTATTTTGAAATGAAACAAGTTTTGGGGCCAGCACTGAGGCGCAGCAGGTTAAAGCCCTGGCCTGAAGCGCCAGCATCCCATACGGGCGCTGGTTCTAGTCTCGGCTGCTTCTCTTCCAATCCAGCTCTCTACTATTGCCTGGGAAAGCAGAAGAAGATGGTCCAAGTCCTTGAGACCCTGCACCCGTGTGGGAGACCTGGAAGAAGCTCCTGGCTCCTGGCTTCAGATCAGCACAGCTCCGGCCATTGCGGCCATCTCGGAAGTGAACCAGTGGATGGAAGACCTCTCTCTCTGTCTCTACCTCGCTCTGTAACACTGTCTTTCAAATAAATAAATAAAATAAATCTTAAAAAAAATTAAACAGGTTTCTAATGTTCATATAAATTATTTAGTAGACATGCATTAGGAAATGTTAAGTTCATGAACTGTGGTAATTTATTAATCAACTTACTTGCTTTCTTTCGTAACAGCTGCAGGAGTTCAGTGAGGATCAGGATTCTACTGTGTGTATTTTCATGTATACCAGAAATTAAACTATAGAAGACATTGTAGAAAAGTTTATTGACATGATAACTGGAAATTCCTTAGTTTATTGTTTTTTTCTTATTTTTGATTTCTTGCAGGTTATCTGTTTTGTCTACCAAACAGGTGAGCCTCCTGCCACTGAGTTTGGCATAGAAAGCTAATTTGGCTCATCTGGCACTCCCTGGGACATTCTTTCTTGGCTTATTTTCAGCACAGATTCCTAGAAATGACCCCAAGAGGCATATTTGAAAGAAATGCTACAGATTTAGACTCATTGACACAATAACCCTGAGAGTCTCAAAATTACTAGTGGGTCTTTTGTGATGCTGGATTGGCACCAGGCTGTTTCTCTATGCCCTGGGACCCATGACCAAGGAGAGCTGGCATTGCATCCTACTGATTTCACGAAGCACAGTGTATTAAATCACACACACACACACACACACACACAGTTGTCTTAGTTGATGGTTTCTTTCCCTAAATGTGCCATTAAGGTGGTAACAAAATGATCATTAGGCCTTAGACTTTTGCTATAGAGACTCATGGACTATAAGTAGTAAAGATGTCTAAAAAAGTAACAGCTACTTTTGAGTTTATAATGAAGGTTTCTGTAACTTTAGCGTATGGTTAGTTCAGATAAAATGTTACCTACCTTAAAATACTGTAATAATTGAAGGTCACTTCTAAGCCTAAGCCCAAACTCACATGCTAGATATTCATAGCCCTAAATAAAAACATATTTACTCTCTGTTTCCAGTCTAAGCTCAATGCTGTATGCAGGGTTGTTGCAGAGGAAGATAGCAAGAAGTGAAGATAGGCATCCTAGGATCACAAATAATGCACACTGAAAGAAGATGAAAAAACTCAACTAAGGCTGAGAAATTCAGGAATATAGCCTCTTAGATATTTATTGTAATTTTCAAAAAATAAAACAAGATAAAGTCAAAGAACAAGAAACCACTTTCCATACAGAATTCACATACAAACTGAATACCTAATAGAGCACATAACATTTTTACACAATTAGTTTCAATAAAGATAATTAAAACTTCACAATGTGAATACATTTCATAGCTTTAAACCCGGACAAGAGCTCCTGTGGACACATGAAGAGTCACAAATTTGCTATGCATCAGTTTTCAACTAAATGTCACAATCAATCACTATACGAAAGCAGTAAGCTGTTTTCAGTATTTTCGAAAGAAGAGCTCCACTGAGAAAGAGATAAAAGTGCCAGGTACAGAGGGAAGTCTTCTTCTGTGTATTCGTGTCCCAGTGCCCTTTGTGGAAACAGGGAGCTACAGAGCATCTCTGGGTACACATCTGCCTTGGTGACACGAGATCAGACAACATCTTGTGGCTTAGTGCAGTGGTCAATGTCTACAGTAACCGCCCTAATGCGGCTTTAGTGAAATTTGCATTTTGTGACTGAGTGAGGCTGCTATGCATGGAGAAATATGCTGATGCAGCAGCTTGTCTTCCTCATGGAAACCAAAACGTGGGGAGCTAAATGAGAGTAATTAGAGAGGTGTCTGAGGCCCAGCTTGGCTGTTTTGAGGAAAGCAATCATATGGAGATGCCAGCGCTGGCCCTCTTCCATTCACAGGGAGCATGCTGTGGCCTTGCCCACTGACTTGCATGGTACAAGGTCATGTCTGACCTTCATCAGGGCAGGTCACCCATTCTCTGTGCTCCTACATCCCAACATAACTTAGTATTCAGATTCCATCTGGCATTTCTTCCTCATTCCCCTTAGGAGTAGGCACCACACTTCCATGTTTGAGTCCCACAGGACTGAGCGCTTGGTGTCCAGTAACTATGTGACAACTAACTAGACATTTAACCATTCTCTTCAATTATCCTTCTCATATTAGCCACTTGCTTCAATTTTTCTTTTTAAAAAATTTGGCACAAAGTCATCACTAATCTCTATGTTACCCACCTCCATTGACTTCTTCAGTGGGTTTTGAGAGCATAGTACAAGTTTCAGTCTATCACAGTTCAGTATGGGTCACAAATTGCCCACATAGCCCAGTGCCATTTAATATGATTGGCACACCCTCACATGTCAATTTCTGGCCAAATGCTATAGAAAGAACTGAAGGCTTTATGTGATGGGCAGATGACCACTGCCCTCCATCATTTTCAGTGAATAAGTTTGAACTTATTTTTCTTCCTAAAGGTGTCATGGCTTACTCTGCTAACAAAACAAAAAGGCAAATCATGTTAAAATGAGGCTTTACCTTAAAAACTGAAATGTCAAAAAGGCATTTAAGGTGGTTGACTTCCCTCAAACGTCATAAACACCTGTAGCTTTTGACAAGCCAGCAACTAGGCCCGAAGTTTTGATTTTGCATCTCAGTGAAGTTCCAGGCCAGTAATGGTGGGGTGAACCAAGGGGGTTGGAGGATGAATGGATGAGTTTATGATGCCATTTCAAAGTGATTTAAGGACTCTGACTTTTGTTTCTTCTACATCACCAGTGTGGACAGTTGAGAATTGAAAGTGAATATAATGTAAGCCTGAACCACAAAAGACACTGATATTTTAGGGTTCCCAGGGTTGGCAATGTTAAATTTCCAAATAAAAGACAAGGTTGAGTAACAATAAAATTTACATATAAATACAAGAGTGAAGATTTTTAGTATACAGAATGTGTGATCAATTTTTTTGAGAATAAAACAAGTGGCTTTTTTTATTCACATTTTTTCCCTTAGGCCCCCATATTAGTTCCTTGGAAGTAAAATGTACAATCACATAAGACGCCTAAGGAAAATTCCAAATTGTAGCAGGGAATGCTTTTATAAAACAAGACAACAGTCACCTTGTTTTGAAAATAAAATCCATAATCCTAAAAGGTAAAATTGACATGTATTTGCAGATACTAAACATTTGGTCTTGTAGGAAAAAGTACTTTGAAGTAGGCACAGAGGAATTTCACATGACACCAATAAGATATTTACTGTATAAATTGCACCACTAGACAAATACTGCTACAAGAAATTATTTGAATAAGTCATACAGCCATCAAAGCATCTTGCACATTCATTATAATTCACTCTTTCACACTAGTTTATATACACTGAGTAAGTCATTAAATATTGCACTTATTGGCCCATGAACCCTCAATTCTGAGGTGTTGAAAAATAGAAAACAAATATATTTTTATAACATATTTCATGCAACATTTAAGACATTTCAGTTCTACAAATACCATTAAATAGTTGTACAACTGGACAGTCCAACGGTATCACATCACGTCTGACATTAACAATATATTAACAGGAATTACAGGACAGTGCATTCGGCACGTAACCTAGGGATGAGGAAACAATGCATGGAAAACCATCATACGTCTAAAGCAAATGATGACCCCCCAGACTTCATGTTTACAAGGAGTATGGAACCACTAGACAGATACAGGTCATGCTCACATCCCTGAAAGGCCAGGTGTACCATCTGTGTCTGCAAGAACAGCATTCATGAACCTAAGTCATCCCCAGCCCAAACAACATGAATACAGAAATACTTCCATTAAGAATTAAAGTCAGTGCCAACTCTTCATTGTCCATGATGAAGGAAAGTATGAATACAGGTGAATGAATTACACAGGTAACCCCCAACCTCATCTCAGTAAGTAATAACTGGTTGAAACTGCACCAGTGATAGTTGCTGATGGGAGATAAATGGTAAAACTTGAGTCTCATGCCCTTCTCCTGATCCTGTTTTTCTATGAGGATAGTGTTTTAAAAGTCTTAAATGATGCAAAATTAGAAGGCAGAATGGAGAAAAGCAAATAGGAAGGCCTGAAGGTCCACTGGATAGATGGTCTGATCTAAGCACTTGAGCTAGGATTGAGGTTTTGTAATAATTCACTTATGTTTTCTAGAATGTTTGCAAACTGCATTTTCCCCCATCCTCTCTTTTAATGGGAATTAATTATGTGAACAGACACATAGACTAATCCAATCAAATCAGCGTGAAGAACCTATTTTATGGGCCTTTAAAAACAAGATGTGAGTTATAGCTGGCACATAGCAAAAGCTCCTTTTCCCAAGAACCAAGAAAGCCCCCCATTAATAAAATTTCCTCCAACCTACAAAAAAGTATCAGTGTTTGCGAGTGTGTGTCAGAAGGGGCAGGACTATGTGCGTTGCTCAAGAGTAAGTATTTACTTCAATCTACCAAAGGGAAATATTATTTGACTGCAGTACCATGCATTTTATAAATGTTTTTAAGAAAAATATATTTATTTATGAAATCCCAATAACAATAGGTAGATACATTTTAGATAAATCTTTCCCCTGACACCTGTTGTGGCTGACGTAGGGCCTACTGTGTGACTGTGACTAGAACCTGGAGCCCTTTACAGTCAGTGTATGAGTAAAGATGCTTCAGTTTTTGCTTTTCTTCTGGCTATAGATTTCTCTTTTACCCAATTTGTCCAAACTAATTATAGGGTATAAAACAGATTTATGTCTTTAAAAATAAAAATTTGTCAAAAATTCACCTAAAATATAAAGAATTCCGAAGAAGTTGACCTTAACACCAAGAGGTTTAGTACATCAGACTCCGTTTTGTGAGCAAACCAGTGTAGGGAATATTCACCAACCAGCATAGCTGCGGAGACTGCGTTTTCTAGGGAGTGATTAGAAAGGCCACAGAGTTGCTGGGCGAGTGTGCCTGCTAAGGAAGTTTCAGGGTCCAAACATGCAACTGTTTTAGAAAGAAAGGGTTCTTGAATCAGACAGGCCAGCTTGCATGCAGGCTGCACCAAAACTGCGTATTTGATAATACTATGAAGGTTATTAACAAACACTGAGTAACTTTTTGGCTTAAGAGGTTTTTGGAACACAGTTTTTCACATGCAGCTGCTACCTCATCTTTTTATAGCTGGTGGAGTGTGCATATTTGTTTAATAGTCTCACAGATGCCATGTGGCTAACTGAAAGGATGCCTGCTGGTTAGGACACGTCACATGGACCACTCATTATGGATTAGCACAGTCCAAAATTAATGCTACCTTATGGGAGTTTAGTTAACAAAATAATGTATTTTAATTTTAAAAAAGAATACCGTATACCCACAAGTCTATTGTTAGCATAATTGTAGTTAAAATTAGAATAGATTTCTGAAAAATAATCAATGTGCTTAAAACAAAAGGTTTGTAATTCATGTGGGTTGAGAGTTCAGCAGGTAAAATATTTTGTTTATTGAGTATATCGATGTCCTTTATAATTTGAGTTTTACTTATGTGGAATTTATGATTTCACATTTATCATCTCAATGTTTTAGCTTTTCTACAACCAAGGCATCATTATGGTTCCCTCCCCAAATAAAAATTTTAGCACTTACTTACTGGGCAGCAAAAGGATACTGACTTCAAGCAACTCTGGAAAGTTGTAAGAACCTCCCAGTTCTCATAGTCATGAGAATTTCATCAAGGCAGTAGAAGCTGTTCATTAGATGGCAAGAGCAATGAACTGATTCATTGTCCTGATGCAATTCTTCTTATGAGCCTATAGATGGGATATTAATGTTTAAACTGCACATCTTAGGACTTACGACACTTCATGCACCTTCTATATCCATTCACATACCAAAAAGCTGAAAAGCTGATTCATTCTGAGGACAGCTATTGAGAAGAAATAATTTTCAGTCCAATTTTTTCAATTGCATTGGGAAAATAAAGGAATGCACCAGCACCAAAGCCCTTGGACGCACCTGCATGGAACACTCAGAGATTCACTCCTGAAAGTATTTGGAGGGGGGAAACTGGCCTGGTGATGAGTAGCAGAGGAAGAGAAATTCATATTTGGCACACTAGTTTAATTGCATCAACGACAACTAGAGATGGTGTCTAAGAATTACAAATCAACATAATTATACATTTTTTACTATGTCTTGTTTTTTTTTACATATATTTGCTAGACCATTGGTAAAAATGACCTGTGGATATTTAGGCTGTTGGTAGATGGAGGTGCAGTGTGTGTTTATGTGTGTGTGTGTGTGTGTGTAGTGGCCAAGAGGTTGAAAAAGCTTGAAATCATAGTGCTGTAAATTATAAGTAACATAGCTTGAAGAAGCATACTCAGTTAACCCCAGGCTGGTTCCTTCATTTCCCATATTTGAGTAAAACCAGGTTCCCTTGAAGAGATGAGGACTACAGAATAGTCTCTCCTTCCATGTACTTTGCAACAGAAACATAGGTGTTCCTTCTCTTGAGCTCTGTGACAACCATCTGGAAGTATTCAGAATGAAATTCACGCAAGGTGAGAGTTTCAGACCTGATAATCAATTTAGGAATACTCCACTTGTATTGGGGCTAGGAAAATAAGAAGTCTTAAATATTCCTTGGCAATGTAGGCAGGCTATTGCTTCATCATTCTTTCCTGACTGGCATACGGTGGTTCAACTTTGGGATGCTTGACACTGTGTAAGTGGGCATTTGGCTAAGACCCCGTGCTCTAAAAGCCACTTAATTTCAATAGGGAGGGGTTTTCAAGAGAGCGAAAACCAGCTCTTTCCTTTCACTTTTATACTCTGTCTCATTTTTTTCTTGCCAACAATACACATATTAAGGTCCTTCTGCAAATACCATCTGAAATATCCCAGTTAGCATTCTGATCTATATGCACGTGTGAGATGGGGACAGTGATGGAGGATGGGAAGGATTTTCTGAGGTTACTGCTCCATGTTAGACTGTGAAAGTGAACTTTAGCTTTGCCATTTAACATGGCTACATTCTGGCCCAGGTTTTAGATTATGACAATGTCATGCAAACAGGCTACTATCACAGACCTGTTTTTGTGAGTCCCCTCCCCACTTCTTTCCTTTCTCTTGAATTTCTGTGATTTTGAAGCTAGTTGCCATATCAAAACCTCATAAAACATTAATGCTTTCTTATCTTTACTAAGCTAAGACTTGTCTCATAGGGCGCCAAAGTGTAAATTTACCATCAATTAGCAGATCTTAAACTAAGAAGGTGAGAAATTACATGAATATGCTAAAAACCTCCCAAGTTCTCTCTCTTCCAATTTCATCTTTGCGCTAACACTATGTGTGACTTAATTCCCTGACTTGTAGGGATTTACTCTCCAGAGACATTCTTATATGTATGAATATTTTCCTTTCAATATCCTTGCTCAATAAACTTGTACCCAATACTTTCACAAGAACTTTCTCTATTTTTGAAAAGAGGAAAAAAATCTTCAACACAACCACCACAAAGGGGAATGTCCATCTAATAGGAGTGTCCTTTCTTACGTGCCAAACATTTGTGCTTGATGTTTCTCAAAATCCTACCCATGAATAGTACTACACAGTGGTGACACCAACTCCAAGTTTCCCTCTAGTGTTTAGCAAAACTGGTAGGATTGGTTGCTTACTCGCTATTCATATAGTCTTCAGGAAGTCTGAGATAATGTTTAAATGGTTACCTCTCTTTCTGAAATTGCTGTGGATTCTCAATGTTTCTTTCACTCTCAGCTACAAAGTGCTTTCTGTGTAACTTAAACATGTTTAGAGACATACCTAAGTGGGAATATTTTTAAAGAACTATGAACATCTCAGTTGAAAAATATTAAAGATGAAAATTGTCTTTTCTTTAACTTAGGACTCACTGAGCTAGTATTTGAATATCTCCTAATTAAGCAGAACTTAGCTGGAATTGGAGCAGAAGTCAATGGCTGGGGAAGTAAGTCTAAATACTATGGGAAGAGGAGCTCTCATGCTTTTCAACCTAACTTTTACTCCAAGAGTTGGTGAATGGTTTCAGAAAGTGATGGCAATGGTGCTGTGTGCATTATATGGGGGTAGCAAGTCATTAAGAAAAAGGGGAGTTCAGGCCTTGGGATCCGTCAGTTATATTCTTGGTTAAAGTGCTTGTTGCATAACTGGCATTCAGTAGCTACATCTCAGTCTGTTCAATGCTCTCAGATATTTCAAGAATTGGGTACAATCAGGAGAAAGAGTGGTCTTGGGGGTAGGGTATTTGCTTATTTAAAATGTGAACTAAGTACTGTTTCCATCTAGTTCTAATCAATTATTATATTCAAAGACAACATTTCCATTTCTTTATAGTCAGTGGTCTCCTTGGTTATTAGTTACAGTGAAAAATAGATTTCCTCAAGGAAAACTGACTAAACCCATGAGAGCGTCACTAATCAAGAGCAAAATTTTCATGTGATTTTCAGTTAAGAGTAAAGAAAATGAAATATCCTGGCATTTTCCATATTCTCTCTTTGTTGTATACACAAGCAATTCCTTTGCATCCATCTCGACAACTGAAGAACATAATTTGAATCCATGGCACAAAAGTTAGCTGTAGTGAAATTACAGTGTGATGCCCCAGCAGTAGCTTAACTGTGAAGAAATTTGAAAAAGAAATATATAAATAAAGAGCGCCTAGAAGACAAATAAATAACAAGTCACATGCAAGTACCAGATGTTTATAGATGAATAGTCCTTACAAATTTAAGATCACATATTTGCCACATATTAACACAGGAAACCTCCCAAGATTTGAATGCATGTACGGGCCATTGACATCAAAGACTTCCTTCAAATAATTATTAGGCAGTATAAATGAAGGCTAACAGACCATTTATAAACGCTGTTTGTTGGCAACTGGAGCCCCTTGGAGCTGCCTATGTGTGTGTGGAGGGGAGGGGGACATTAACAGCCACAGGTGGACTGCGGTGGAGGAGGGGTTTCCTTGAGTCTCGTGTTCTGCTTTGCGGCAGTGACGGCCGGGTCTGTCTCCAAGCTCTCTGACATTTTGTCACAGATGATATCCACAAGGCGCTCAAAGGTCTGCTTGACATTAATGTTATCCTTGGCACTTGCTTCAAAAAACTCAAACCCTAGAAGAACACACAGAAACAGGGGGTGGTCATTTCACTTTTCTAAAATGAAATGGGACTCGATTATGGTTTTGAATGGTGATGAGGTGACAGCAGCGGGCGTGGGGTTTGGTTTGGGTAAGAGATGGGCGTGAGGAGCCATTCGAGCAGATGCTGCCATCTTGATCCCTTAATCATGAATGAAAGAATTATGAAATGGAATCGATGATGTTCACATTTTATTCTTACCTTTCAATTCACTTATACTACCAGCACGGTTGCCTGAATTTTAGCAAAACTACACCTTTGCAAGAGTTAGTAGTGGCAACTTAAGAAGCATTAACACCAAGTCAATCTTTGCCATCCTTTCTTTCCTCCTATCCTTAGTCCACCCATGGAACCTCTTGCAATCTTTTCTAGGACTGCCATTTTATTCTTTTCCCATTTCTGGAGTCTATCAAAAAATTATAATTCTAATTTTTCTTATTAACTTAAGGCTTAGGAGATTTCATGTGCATTTTCTGCTGCCAAGAGAACTACTAAACTCTGCTTTACTCCAGCTCTCACTTTTTCCATCTACCCTGCTGCTGCCTTCATGGATCTGAGGTAGGCCTCTAGTGAATTTTCAGTAACTGCTAGGACACAAGGTGGCAGTGAAGAGTTACAGGAATTCCTTAAACCCATGTCAACCAGCTTTAGGAAAATTCTGAATAGTGATAGTCTAATAGCCCTAGGGGCTTTTTCTAACACTGCACCTATCTACTGGGTGCTGCTTTTTCCATAGTTTCTATTATCTAGCAGTAGCAATGTTCTTTTTGGTTTGTTTGTTTTCACCAATATGTGGGAAGGACACTTGACAAATTTCCAATGAGCTGCCAGAATTATGAAAAGATACAAAATACAGGGACAATTTCACCCTTCTCCTGATGTGCCACTGTACCTGGGAAGAAGCAACCTTACTACGCTTCTCTAGACACAATCACATCACTCTATTGTTTGCATTCACATTCCACTGCCAGTCAGTTGCCATGACAACCTCCCCACTAGGCCAGCCAGAGATTGCTCTGGTCCATTCAGGGGATGTTGATTTAGGATGTATTGGGCTGCACACAGAAACGCTTTTCTAATCCATTCTGAATTTTACACCCTATAAATCCTTCTGGTTACATCTGGCCCTATCTCAGAGGAGCCACATGGACTCAGAATGATTAAATCAGGCAATTTCATTCCAGCTCCTGGGGCAAAGGAGAAAGAACAAACTAATATTTTGCAGCATGTCAAAATCCCTCTGATAACCTAGAAGTACTTATTTCCTTAAATAGTACTGAGGGGTAGACAACAAAAAGCAACTGCCATGAGTTAGTATTTCTAATTTAATTATGATATTATTTGGTTGGATGACTATATCTGAGATTGAATTTCACTAGCAACTCTATTGTTAAAATCTAAGTGAACAACTGCAGAATTTGGGTTAAAAACACATCAATAGAGCCAAGTGCTATAAAATTGAGGTGGATATTTCAAACCATGTTTAGCTTATAGCTCACTTTAATTTTGTCTCTTTGGATAATGCTTAGGTAGCTATTTTACAATCTGTCTTTTTTAAGTCTATAGATAAGTATATCTGGTATTAACAAAGCTCTCTTTCTAAATGTTTGTACAGGCTATGGGGATATAGCATTCATCTTCCAATAATCTGATCCGTATTTGGGGGAGGGCAAGTTAATAAGTTATCAGAACTACTTGCATGCTAGTGGGAATTTTCTCAGTGCTAATGGGAGGGTGCTTTACATCAAGAGGTACCAAGAACCTACTGTGGAAGTCAAGATCCCTGGATGAGTCTTTGGAGGTGGAAATGTCCAGAAATTGGTATAAAAGTTTCATTTAGCGGTTCAATCCTCTCATTTCTTCTGCTAACATCTCTTTTTACTTATTAGTGTGACTTTTGGAAGGCAATGAACTTGAAAGAGATCACATCACTGTGAAAAGGAGGTAACCTACATGAGTCCTTGTCAAATGCAGCTACTTAGTCTGGGGATTTGAGATGCTCTGTGATACTGGTGTACAACTTGAAGTCACTAACATGATATTTGGTCTCAAGAGCCAGAATATCCCCAGCTTCTTGACATTCACCTAGACCCCTAAGAATTCATGGCCACTAAGGAGACATTGTCTCGGAGGAAAATATATATATATATTTTTTTTTGACAGGCAGAGTGGACAGTGAGAGAGAGAGACAGAGAGAAAGGTCTTCCTTTGCCGTTGGTTCACCCTCCAATGGCCGCCGCGGCCAGCGCACTGCGGCTGGCGCACCGCACTGATCCGATGGCAGGAGCCAGGTGCTTCTCCTGGTCTCCCATGGGGTGCAGGGCCCAAGCACTTGGGCCATCCTCCACTGCACTCCCGGGCCACAGCAGAGAGCTGGCCTGGAAGAGGGGCAACCGGGACAGAATCCGGCGCCCCGACCGGGACTAGAACCCGGTGTGCCGGCGCCGCAAGGTGGAGGATTAGCCTAGTGAGCCGCGGAGCCGGCCGAGAGGAAAATATATTCTAATAGCACCCATTTATTCAGTATGCCAGTGAAGGAGACATCATAGTATGGTGGAGAGGAATGAACCATCAAAAGATGTGGGATATAGGCCCATTATCAACATTTGACAGCTTTCATCAAAAAGTAAGTCACTTTTTATTTTCTCATTTTCCTTATTTAGACTTATAGAGTTGTCATGAAGCTCAGAGAAAATGTAGATAAAACAGGCAAAAGTGCCAAGCCAACTGGGAAATGTGATGACTACAACAACAGCAACAGTAACTCTATAATAGGTTCTAATCAAAGCACTTTATTCATTTTAACTCATTTTATCCATAAGTAGGTGCTGTTATTTCCTCCAACTTATTGCTAAAGAAATGGAGGCACAAAATGACAGACTAATTTGCTGAATTTCTTCCCTGTTGGACCAGTACATGGCAAAGCTGGAATGTGAATATTGACTTGTGTATTTTTCTGTCTTTCCAGGTACCTGCAGAAGCAAGCTACTATTTTGTTCCAGGTGAATTATAAGTTCCATGTAAATCAATAATCATAATATATTTCATCAAATTGAATCAAATTGATTAATTAGTATGCAATTCATTAGATGCTACACTGTCAATAAACTAAATGGAACAAAATTCTTAATTATTGCAAAGGTTCTTTGATATCTTGTGCTGCTTCAGAGTCGATGGTTATCTAACAGCTGAATCTCTATATTTAATTACAGAATTATATATATTTTATATAAAAGATTCTAGAGATTCAACTCCTTCTCATTGACCAGTATGTACTCTAGTCATAGTTTGTCATAAAATGAGACATTAAGAATCAAAATCAGTGGTACCTTTCTCTGAAGGGAGGAGAGAACTTCCACTCTGACTACGACCTTGTCTAAATATGATCAGAGTCGGTGAACTCCAAAGGCTTCCATAGCCTTGGCGACTCATGACAAGAGCCTAGGGTGATTACTGATGCCATAAACAAGAGTGTCAATTTGTTAAGTCAACAACAGGAGTCACTGTGCACTTACTCCTCATGTAGGATCTCTGTCCTTAATGTGCTGTACATTGTGATTTAATGCTATAACTAGTACTGCAACAGTTTTTTTCACTTTGTGTTTCTGTGTGGGTGCAAACTATTGAAATCTTTACTTAATATATGCTAAACTGATCTTCTGTATATAAAGAGAATTGAAAATGAATCTTGATGTGAATGGAAGGGGAGAGGGAGCGGGAAAGGGGAGGGTTGCAGGTGGGAGGGAAGTTATGGGGGGGAAGCCATTGTAATCCATAAGGTGTACTTTGGAAATTTATATTCATTAAATAAAAGTTAAAAAAGAAAAAAAAGAAAAAAAGAATCAAAATCAGTAATATTTCAGCAGTTAGTTCTTTAGTCAGGGCAGATGGGAGCTCCCTGCACAACCCACGATTCTTCTATCATAGTGAATCAGTACTTCCATTCAGCTGTGTAGACCTGTGGGTGTTCAAAGCTCATCATCTAACTCATAGCCACAAATCCAAACGTGATAGCCTTTACTCTTCCACTAACTTCTTAGATTTTATGGCGCTCACCTCTTAATATCTCAGTATTTTTCTTTCCTTCAAGAGACAGAGACAGAGACAGAGGGAAAGAATATCTCCTGCCTACCACTTTATTCCCCCAAATGCTGGCAGCAACTAGGGTTGGGGCAGGCTGAAGCCAAGAGATGGAAACTTGACCCAAGTCTCCCACGTGGGTGCAAGGACTTAACTACTTGAACCATCACCTGATGCCTCAGAGGGTGTGCATTAGCAGGAAGCTAGACTGGGGAGTAAAGCCAGGTAAGTTCAAGTCAGGACTTGAACTTAGGTAGTTCAATAAGGGATGCTAGCTGTTTCAACAGCTAGGTGAATGCCTGCCCTAATATATCTGCATTTTAATCACAACCATAGCAACATGAACTTGCTCTCTGGAATCTTTAACCTTGCATCCATATACACCAACATCAACAGGGGCCCAGAACTTCAATCAGTGATATTGCAGAAACAATCTTTCTTCTCAAATGCTGAAGATCACTTCTAATGTACTGGATAGGAAAGGGTGATTTAGCAAGAGAAAATAAGTAGTCCAAGGTCACACAGCAAGCCAACTGTGAAGCTTGACAAAGATCTCCTGATAAATAGGTTACTGACGTAGCTTCCAGCCTCAGACACCTGTCCTTCCAACTTTACTGGGTATTAATAATTTTAGCACACATATGTGTCTTCATCAGTGAACGTGTTAAACTAAGCACAGACAATAATCATCCTTTCTCATTCTTCTCTGCTCAGTGCCTTTCTAGCTGCATTCTGGCAGAGGCAATGCTGTTCCAGGGTTGGATGAGCCATGCACTGTGTCCCAGTACTTCTCTCCTTTAGGCTTTCTTATGTCTGATCCTGGAAACATCACTCCTACACTTTCCAAAAGCTATTGTAGGCACAGATGGACTCTAATCGTATATGACCTCTCG